TCGCTACTAGAAACAAGTGCCTTACTAGTAGTAACAAGATTCGCTAGGTACAATAAATGTTCTACACCCCCAAAAACCTTCTTCGGTTCTTCGTCCCAGGCTGCTGAGGTGGAGACCTTCTTCCGGAGCTTCCTTGGGTGACCTCAGTGGGGGGTGACGTGACCGTCCAACCACTCGACTCGTTCGGCAGTACGACGAAACGAGTCAACGTCGGCGCCTTTCCTCTGCAGAACAAACAAAAAGGCGAATGCATGGCGAGTGTGGCGCGTGTGGTGCTATTATCCATGAGAATCCCATGGTGCGGAGAGTTTAATAAGAACAACAAGTAGAGATGAAGAATTTGCCATAACAAGAGTGGCTTTTTCCTTTTGCCATGACTAATGACAAGGACATCTCAAACAGGACCTTCAGTCCGAGGTCCCAGCGGAGAGGCAACTGGTGATTCCATGCCGGGAGGCACTTGCAAAGGCGAATGCTCCTCCTGCTTAAGAGTGGCGGTTTGAAGTCATTTTAATAAATCTCCGCAGCCACTTGCCCCCCCTAGTCAATAATTACGCAAACATCCCAGCAAAAACAAAAAAACAATCAATTGAGACAACCAATATCTTTGCCTAGGGCCTCAACTTTCTGCCTAAATCTCTACTCTTCCATGCACGCATCTGCATTCTGTCTACTTTCCTGCGAGTGACGTAATCATTGTCTTTGATCCTCCATTGGATTTACCATTGAAGCTGTCAAGCCCAAGTCACCCGGCTCAAATCGGAAAAGACCGTCTGCCCAGCATCCTTCTCGGCTTCAGGCTCAGGCGAGATCAAGCCCAGTTCGAGCTCACCTGCGAGGACCGGCAGTGTCCTCAGTGTCCTCCACTGTCTGAGCTGAGTCTACTGGAGCGTCAACATCTGTGTGAAGCTGCTACAGTACTACCCCTATGAATTGGAATTAACCATGTGTTCCTAGGCAGGGGCAAATCTATGCAGCTGACTTGCAATTGTCTGGCTTGCGAGTTTGGAATACTTGCCACATCGGAAAGTGTCAAGGACCAAGGTCAAATCAGTAACGATGCGGAATGCGGAATGGACAAAGTCAAAAAAAATCAGTAATGCTACAATATGCTTCATGCAAACATGGTACAGGTGCCTTCACCAGGACCTTCAGGGCCGCCTGTTGGAGCCTTGGTGCCGGAGATACTCGGAGACATGGTGTATCACGGCGCACCCAATTCTTAGCATTCCACTCCCACTGTCGCTGCTGCGGCTGCGGTTTGGCCTGTGCCAGACTCGGTGTCTTTTTATTCATATCAAAATGAATCTAGGATATTGCCCTTGCTGCAAAGCAGTTCTGTGCATGCGCATTGTTTTTCCCACTTGCAGTAAAACTGCCAAAGAACGAGAGCACTCCTTTGGAGTTACATAAGGTCCTTGTGAATCAATCATGAAGCAATGAGATTCTTCCCTCTCACGGCGGATACAAAGCAAAAATCTTCTCCTGCGGTGAAATTGGCCAACCTACCTGACAATTAAGAGGATTTGGTTATGATTAACATTCAAATTACATTTACATGTTTTCCCATTGACGAAATCCGGAGAAAGTCACAAAGAGAACGGCATCTTTTCCTAGTTATCTTGTTCTGGTCTTCAATGTCATAGCCATAGCCTAATTTTAGGGGCACGTTGAACCCAGTTCGCAAGCCGCTGCTGAGGCTGCAACATTGTCAAGGCATGTGAAGGCTATCATCCAATCGTCTTCGATGTGCTATTCCATATCCATCTATCTTCTAGAAGCGATGATGCAGTTGCACACCATCTTGTTTGTGATCCATTCCCGTTGAAATTGTGACAACTGCGCCGTTCACAACCGAAGGTCATCGAGTACAGTTTCCCGCTTCGCTGGCTCCTT